GGGGTTAAAGGTCTTTCTTTGGTGTTTTCATTTACTATTTTTTTCCCTTCCGGTGATGGGATGGGATTGGGAGGGGGGTCCATGTAACCTACTTAAGGCGTGGAAGCCTGCTCTGAAGCGGGTAGTTGTTGAATGACGTAATAGGTCCTACTTCTTCACTAACCTCTTTTTGTTTCTGTCTGTATTGTTTTTACCCAGTATTGGGTGACCTGTATTGTGCACTCATGCTTCTTTTTACTCATACATTCCCGCTTTGGGGTGCTTATGTCTTGGGCGTCACTCTTTGACTCTGTCTTCAGTAGCTTATCTGACACTTCTGTATTAAGACGAAATTTCGATACAGGACGATGGGGTGTAAATCAAAGTTGAACTAATTTCACCATCACCATGAAGCGCCGGGCCCGAAACAAACATCGGCAATCATGGCTCCATTTCACTTCTCGGGTGCTCTCCAAAATACCCATGTGCTGCTTGTCGACCCATCCCTGTCGCTCATCTGTTCAAGTTCTCTACGTAAAATGTTCTTGGTCTACCCCTACTTCTTTTGCCTTTTATTTCCCAGGCATGTAGTTTCTCTTGTCCTTCTTTTCCAGGGCATGGCGTTCACCCTGGAGGAACGTCAACTACTGGGCATCCACGGCCTTCTGCCACCCGCGCTGCTGACACAAGATAGACAAGCTTATCAAGTGATGCAGAATTTTTATCGTTGGGACAACGATCTTGACCGTTTCATCTTTTTGATGGGCTTGCAGGATCGTGACGAAAAACTGTTCTATCGAACTGTTATCGAGAATATCGAACTCATGATGCCCATTATTTACACACCCACTGTTGGCTTGGCCTGTCAGAAATACGGCATGATCTTCAGAAAACCAAGGTAAGGAGAGTTGTAAGAGGTATTAGTTTGCATGTCCTTTTTGCTGACACTTTATTTTCATAAAGTTTGACATAAGGTCCGTTGTTGAAAAATGACTTTTTAGTACCTAAATGAGATTTGCATATATACTGTGAGGATTTCTTTCTATGAAGATGGACCCACTTTACAATACTAGGATTTAAAAAAAAACAACAACAACCAACAACAAAAGAACCCATACCATTTGCTTGTCAAAATGTGACTGTTTCTTTCTTAGTATTAACTATTTTGTAAAGTTGACTACCACTCGATGAATGGTATATTTGTGGTAACATACTAACACGCTATTCTTTAGAGGAAGAAAGGTGATAGGAGGAAGACTTATAGTATATAGTATGTTAAATTTAATTTAGTATACTTGCTTACACGATAAGTGTGAAATAAAAATTATTCTTCTGATTCCTGGTCCCCACCTCTCCCAGTGCCTTTTACAAAATGTTAATGCTTCACACAATGTAGGCCTATATATTTATAGAAAGTAAATTCCGGCAGCCTAAAATAGATGTTACGTCACACTACATTAGATAATGAAATCCAAATTGGTTCTGGCAGAGTTCTATGCTATTTTCTCTTTATTTTGTGTTGCTCATTATTTTTGTTTAGCTTTCTTTTAGAAACAAAATTAAATGTATGTAGACAGTTTAAAGAATGGAAATGTTAACCATGATTTATTTAATTTCCCATCATGTGAAAGTTTTATTTCTCATTAGGGTACATTCAAAGAGAATACCTAGATCTAGTCATCTATAGAAAGTTCTACTTCCTTCCTTTTCCCATTCCTTTGCTTACTGTTGCAGATTTTTTTTGTCAACTGTTACATGACTTTGCGCAGGTTTATGTGGTTTTCCTTTCAGTCAGTTGGAGAAATAAATAATCCCGTTATGATTTACTGCCTTATATTGATGTTCATATAGTAGAATTAATGTGTATAAAATGCAAAGAGAAAGGTATTTATCTGCTGAGCTTCCCATTTTGTTGGTCCAGAGTCCACAGGAATAATGGACTACTGATGGAACTGTTTGGCTCCAGGGCTGTTTGTTCCCTCTTAATTTATAAATCTAGCAAAGAGAGGTAGATCAAGAGGAAGGGAGAGTAAGGCAAGAGAGTGAGAAAAAAAGAGAAAGAGAGAGAGAGAGAAAGAGAAAGAGAGAGAGAGAGAGAGAGAGAGAGAGAGAGAGAGAGAGAGAGAGAGAGAGAGAGAGGCCATGCATATTCATATGTTGAAAAATGGGCTGTATGAATGTGCTATACAGCCAAACTTGCTATAACGACCACTTTTTATTCATGATCTCCAGTACAAACCACTTGCTTCCCTCCCACCCCCACCTTGCATTTTTTACTGTATCAAAGACACTGTCCAAGAGGACCACCTCTCTAAATTGACCACTTTCTCCTTGACAATGGGAGGTCATCTTCAAAAAGTTGAACTGTATTACTTTTATAGTAATATTTTGTGTGCTCTTGTGAACTTGTATGGGTTCATGTTGGTTTATTTGTCTGTTTGTAAATATATGGGGCTGTATCATGAAAAAGAAGGAAAAAGAAGTTGGGTATGATGGGAAGGGG